GTCACAAAAAAGTATATGATGAATTCATTTATTTACTCTCTCATTCTTTGCATTTGGGGTAAAGTGCATAACTTGTAGATTACTTTATTAATTTTTAAAATATCGACTAGTTTAAAATTATTTTGCCATAAAATTTAGAGTATTTTATCAAGAAGAGTTCCAAAAAAAGGAATTGGATGATTGTGTTAGTTTCTCCATTCAAGAGTTCCAAAAAGGTCAAGGCTGATTTTGAGAAGGCTACACACATTGCAGAAACAAGGTTCAAGATTAGAGGAGACTTAAACTCTGGAAATATGTTTGTGAATGTCCAAAGCATGTTATCATTTTCATTCCAAGAATACGTTACATGATTATGATTTATGAATACCAACAACAATTACAAATTACAATCACACATACAAACCAAATAGTTTCCCAATCGACTTAATGCTCTAGATCTCATTCTCCGATTTATACTCGCTTTTATTGGTTGTCATTGCCAAATCAATGTCCACCACTTCCCCTTACAACTCGTCCTACACAAAATTCAAAACCATATAAAATTTTAATCATTTTAGAACATTTAGATATGATTTCAATACTGAATTGCAAAAACCATGTTTAAGTGGTTGAGATGGGAAACTACTCACATGGTAATCATCCATGTAATCACGTGGATTAGGCTGCAAAAAAAAAGCAAAACAAACCATTTCCAACACATTCACTTACTTCATTCTTTCCAGAAATAACAGAGTTAAGTAGTAAAACATTATAATTGATTTGGTATCAATGTGTACTTACTCGTTTGTAACGCCTCCTCCTGTCTCCATGCCGATGGTCTCTCTCCTTCCGCCTACGTTCCCCTTCTTCCCGTGCTTTCCGAGCTTCCTGTAAACGTCAATTTGTATGGCCATGCTCGTAGTTAAGTTATACAGAGAAGACTTGAAAAGGAAACAAGAACTTGTTTTGTAAACTACGAACCTCATCTTCTCTAGCTTTTCTTTCTTTTTCAGCTTCCCCAAATAACTCTTGCTCAGTCTAGCGTGTACGGCCAAGTATATAGCATATCATATTAGTAATAAGTCTATATTAAAGCACGAATATATTCTCATTTGCAATTATGACACTTCTTAGATTTTATCCAAAAAGATATCCAAAGGCTTGGAAATTTACCTCCCTGTGGTGGGTAAAATAGTCATCCACGATGGTTCTTGCATATTGCGGGTCATCGCAGATCAAGATATTGTCAAAGATTGAACCAGCCTTCACCTGCAGTATTAACATCAAAATTTTCATCCAGCTGCACTAGATAAGCTCGGTCCCTCAGTCTAAAATGAAAACTTTTGTCTGATCTTCTCTGTTTCTTTTTTTATTTGTGTTATTCCCAAAGAGAAGCAAGAATATCTAGAACTTACCTGCCATACTTCAATGCCTGCATATTTTATAGGCTTCAGAACGTAAAGATCTGGATCATCTTCAAATTCTGAGGAAAACCAAGAAAATAAAGCTTAGTATTAACAAGAAGCCCGAAACGCAAACACACATTACATAGAAAGAAACATGCCTGGATTATCTATCCATGGGGTCTTCCATTTTCCCTTGTAGTTTGGATTCTTGATTCTCTGTAGGAAGAATAATGTTTTGAGAAAATGTTAGATAGTGTAGAGGAAACTGGAAGAATGGGGTACTCTACATTGCCATTAATGACTGTCATATCAATTACCTTTGCTTTCCAAGGACCTTTGAACGCAGGATTTGGGATCTTTGGGGGTTCCCAGAGACCATTTTCCTCCTCGTCCCAGTCCTCAGGCTATACA